TCCTGCGGTGGTTCCCCCCACACCAGACCCACGCACATCACAGCCCTGGTGGCGGCAGGCGGCACCATGGCCCCGCTCTTCCTCCGTCTGGGGCGCCTGGTCCTCCTGTCAGAGCAGCCGTCCCCCGGCCAGCAGCTCGAGGCCGGGCCCTCTGGGCCTGCGGGGGCGGGCCCTGGGGGTCGCTGCACCGTGGGCGTTTCAGGCGGGGCTGAGGGCTGTCGGGCTCTGCAGGCTGCCGGACTGTGGGGCTGTATGCCGCGAGTCCTCTGTGTGGCGCAGCCACGGCAGCAGTTTCCTTCCCTTCTCACTGTACCTCAGCTCCCAGCCCGGAGGAGGCCAGCCCGTCGCTTAGGGCCCCTCCGTGTGTGATGCCCACTCAGTCCTCATTCTTGGCTCTTCAGAGTAACTTTGCCAGGGCCTTGGCCTTGAACTCCGCCACTGCTCAAACTGAGGAGAGTTAACATTCTGGCGCTTAGAAGGAAGCTTGGCCCAGGTCAGGGCGGCTTCCTACACCTCATGGGGCCCCTTTCCTGCGGCTCTTCATACGTCAGAGGTGTGATGGTCCTGCCCCCCCTCAGCTTCTCCCCCACCCAGAAGGCCTGTCTTGGAGGCAAGCGTCTCGCGTCCTTTCGAGAGACCCTCAGGGGGACAGTCCCACCCTCTGCCTAGGTCAGCGGGCTCTCCCCGAGGGTCAGCGCCCCGCCATGCATCCTTGTGGGCATTCTGGGGGTCTTCTGTTCTCACCCCGGTGGCCTCCCCTTGGAGTTTGAGGGGAAACCTTGTGTTTTTTGGTGTAAATGTTTCCCGTGACCTTTGCTTTGGTATCTAGTTGCTGCACCTACCTTTATGTGGGGTTCAGGAGGCCCCGCTTTTAGGTAGGGTCTTAGCTGGGAGAAAATGAGAGGACAGGCAGCAGAGAAGGGGAGCAGCCCTCGGGGTGTGTGGCCGCCCTTGTTGGGCTGGGTCCCCGAGGGCTGGCCCCGCCACCCTGACTGGGCATCTCACAGACACGGCCTGGGACCCCACGGGACAGGGGGTCCATCCAGGTGGACGGGAGAGTAACAGGTGCGGCTGGACTCGCGGTATCCTGAGACCCTGCCAGGCTGGGCCGCGCTGGGACAGAGCTGTGGGGCAGGAGGGTGGACGCCCGGGCCCTGGGACAGGACAGGGCAGGGCTGTGGTGGCAGGAGGGTGGACGCCCCGGCCCTGGGACAGGACTGTGGTGGCCGCTGGGACAGGACGGGGCTGCGGTGGGTGGGGGGAGACGCCGAGGGCACAGTGTGAGGCCGAGAGGGCACAGCCCGGAACGTGCTGTTTCATGGCACACAGTCGGCAGGTCAGAATCCCCGACATCCCGAGAAAACGCTCCTTGAGCAAGAAACACGCACGCCAGTGGGAACCCAGCACTTTTTCCAACAAAGTTTCTGGTAAAATCCTTGTGCTGTTGGAACTAGGAGCCCCCCAGCTGTCCAGGAGGGGCCTGGCTTCTGCTCCCACCCGTCAGGTCCAGCTTGGTGAGTGGGCGGGGCAGGGTGGGGGCCGGCTGTCAGCTTAGTGGGAACAGGGAAGCGCCCCCTCCCCCTTAGTGCAGCAGCTGTAAAAGGAGGGAGGGAGGAGGCTCTCCCTACGCGGGCGGACCCCCGCCCACGGCCCACGCACGGCCCACGCACGGCCCACGCACGGCCCATGCTCGGCCCACCTACGGCCCACCCACGGGCCACGCACCGCCCGCAGTCGCCCGTGACTCCCAGCGGTGCCGGGACCTTTGCGCGACGGTGGTTGGGACAGAAACTCCTGAGCCTGAACCCCGCCCCCCACCGCTGATCAGCCACAGAGGGGTTGGGTGGCCCCACGCGGAAGGCCGAGGCCTGTCAGGTCTCCCCTGCATCCCCTGCGGGGTGAAGGTGAGCGCGGGGTCACGGTGAGCTTGGAGCCCGCGCACCCTGGGGTGGGAGGGAGCACGCGTTCCTGGGGCGGGGGGCGAGGGAGATGCGGACGGCCCACGCAGGACCCTGGACTGGGCTTGGGATCGGGGGGCCCAACCGTCTCGGAGGACGTCGCCTGGCCCTGCGAGCAGTGGCATAGGGAGCAGCGCCCTGGGGGTGCGGGGTGCAGGGTGCCCGCGCCCTGGCGCGGCAGAGGCGCCGCCTGCTGGGCCGGCCTGGCAGTGCAGGCGGCGCCTTGCAGGGCGGCGGGTCACCAGGCTTCGGTGTGTTGTCACGTTGTGCTGTTGCTTTTATAGAAGACGGGGAGAAAACGCAATGCCCACCTCCTTCTCCCCACAGCCCTTGGAGCCCCGGATGGGGCGTGGGGCCCCGGGAGCTGCTCCCGGGCTGTCTGTGCAGCCGCGAACGCCCAGGCACCTTCCTCTCCTGCAGGCCGCGTGGGCAGGGGCAGCCGCCCGCCCGCAGGTTCGACACCCGCCGGGACCACATCCCGGGGGGAGCGGGAAGGGCAGCACGCAGCACCCCCTTCCTCAGCTCGTCCAACCCAGCAGTCACCCCGCTCCCCGCTCCCGCTGTCCACGGCGGCGGTGGGCGCTTACCGATGTATTCGGAGAGGTTGACCTTGGGGTTCTGGATCAGCAGCCCCTCCTCCACCAGCTCCTTGTACAGAGACTCGATGGTCCTGGGGAGAGCAGACGGCCGTGAGCCCTCAGGCCACGCCGGCCCACCGGGCAGCCCCAGAGGCTTCCGAGCGTCTCCACAATTTAGGGGTAAGTGAGGCTTTTTAAAAACAGCCTTTTCTCTCGTCCGTGGGCGCGGCTGCTGCCCCCAGAAGCGAGAGTCAGGTCTGCGGCCTCGAGACCAGCTGTCACTCCTGCGCGGTCCTCGCGTGGGTCTCGGCGACCGCGCAGATGCGAGTCGGAAGTTTCCAGTCATCACACACGCCGCTGGCGTCTGTGCCGGGCACACCACCAGCCCCTCGTGGAAATGATGTCTCCTGTTAGCCCAGCAGCACAGTAGGTGAACAGAAATTTCCACCAAGAACCAAGGCTGAGCCTGGGGGCAGCCGGGCTGAGGGGACACCCGAGCTGGGCGACCCTTCTCGAGGGGCTTACGGCTCAGAGGCTCGTCTGCCGCTGCCGACGGCAGCACGGGGCAGCGTGTGTGCGGGGGGACGGAGAGGGTCCCCCACCGAGTGAATGGAACTGCCCAGGGAAGGACGTGGGGCTTGGCCGGCGGGCTCAGGTGTGGAGGCCGGGGTCCTCGGGAGCCTCGCGGGGGCCGGCCGCTCCCGACCTGGCCCTGGCCTCTCTCTCCAGGAGTGGACAGGCCGTGTGGACGCCCTCGCCTTTGATGGAGAGCCGCGCCCCCCGCGCCGCGTCCGGCTGAGCGCCAGCCTCGCCGGGGCTGGGGGCGGCCTCGGCGCTGTGGTTACTAGCGCAACGTGTGATGGCCGCGTGTCGCATTAGCGCCGGGGAGTCTCTGAAAGAGCCGGAGCAGAAGCCGCTGAGCCTGGAACACGCGCGTGAGACGGCCTCAGTGGTGGAATAACACGTTTTACTCTTCGAGCGGCCTTGAGCCACGGCAGAAACACGGGTCGGAGGTTTCTGTTAACTTGCTTAAAGCAACGAAGCGCAGAGAGACAGCGCCCTGGGCGCTGTTCTGGTGACACCGAGCCTTTGAGACGGGAGGGAAGGATCTGGGGGGCGCGGTGGCGGGCTTCGGCGCCTCGGGCACGGAGCGCCCCCCCCCCCCCCGGGCCCCGAGACACAGCCCAGCGGTAAAGGGCGTCTCGGGAGACGGCCCTGGCCACGAGCCACATGTGTCCCCTGCAGCTGAAGCGCATTTTTTCTCAGTGCGAAGAGATTTTATGTGCAAGAGTGTGGGCGAGTCACTGGGACTCGGCCATCAAGCACCTAGGACGGACTTTAGCTCTGGGCTGTCCCTGGGCCAGGCCCTTAGCGCGACCTTCACCCGAAAGGCCTTGGGTTCGGGGACAAGGGACAGCGTTATTTAGAAGCTGCCAGAGGACACGGCACTGTGTTCACCTGGGCTGAACCTGGGAAGGTGGACAAGGAGCCCGTGCTGCGCTCGGGCGGGCCCGCGCCTCCCCGCAGTGGGCACCTGGGTCTCGGGACGCTGACCAGGCCCGGGGGAGGCAGCGGTCAGTGATGCGTCTTGGCCCGACCTTTCCCCAGACCGCGGTGCTTCGAGGGGGGAGCTGCTGCTCCCCCATGCCCTGGGCGACACGGTTCTCCGCAGTGCCCCAGCCCGGCCCACCGGCTGCCCTTGCTGAGGCCGCTGGCCAGACCGGTGCTGGCTCTCGGGTCCGGACTGCTGCCCGTGGCTTCCCCTGGTGACCTTCTCTCAGCAGCTTTGGGGAGGGGGTGCTGGGCCCTCAGAGAAGGGCTGGAGAGGGGCAGGCGCGTCCGCACCAGCCGTGTGTGCATGACCAGGTGATTCCTGACCACTCCTCGAGGCGTTTAATTACACCCTTGGCACGTATTTGAAAACCCAGGTCTTGCTTACTTAAAACGCCAAACACCAAAGGTCGCTTTCAGCTTTAAAAAACCAAACAAACGAGGCTTGAAAACCACCCTTTGGCCAGTCCTCCTGGCCCTGGCCTCCCCGCTCCTCCCAGACGCCCGGGAAGGGCTCCCCAGCGGCCGTCCAGGTCCAGAGGGAACCGGGAGCCTCTCGGTGCCCGGCGCCAGGAGCCTCGGAGTTTCTTCCAAGGAGGGTCGGGACGCACGCGGCTTTCAGGCGAGTCCGTAGGGCCCGTGAGCTCTGAGCCGTCACGCTGCGGCCCTCGGAGGACGAGCCCAGGCTGACCTCAGGCGGCTCCTCCCGGGCCGCAGCCCTGTGGTCCCCAGTGGTCCCCCAGCATTGTCGCCAGATGACAGGGGCTGTGTCCAAAGCTCCCTGGGGCCCCTCGCACCCCATGATCGCCACAAGCAGGTCCTGCTCACCTGTCCGCTGTGAGGTCCTTGTCTTTCCCCCTTTTCCCTTTTTTGTCTCTCGCCCCTGTCTTCTGGAAGAAAAGGGAAATGACAAGAAGTCGATTGTGCCTGGAAGTTAGCTGCCGAAGCCTTTCTTTCGGGGA